TATTTTTTTATTTCCGCTTTGATTTCCTCAGTGATCTCTTGGTTATTAAGTAGTGTATTGTTTAGCCTCCATGTGTTTGTATTTTTTACAGAGTTTTTCCTGTAATTGATATCTAGTCTCATAGCATTGTCGTCGGAAAGGATACTTGATACGATTTCAATTTTCTTAAATTTACCAAGGCTTGATTTGTGACCCAAGATGTAATCTATCCTGGAGAATGTTCCATGAGCACTTGAGAAGAAAGTGTATTCTGTTGTTTTCGGATGGAATATCCTTTAAATATCAATTAAGTCCATCTTTTTTAATTTATCATTTAAAGCTTGTGTTTCCTTATTTATTTTCACTTGGGATATTCTGTCCATTGGTGAAAGTGGGGTGTTAAAGTCCCCTACTATGATTGTGTTACTGTCGATTTCCCTTTTTATGGCTGTTACTATTTGCTTTATGTGTTGAGTCGCTCCTATGTTGGATGCATAAATATTTACAGTTGTTATATCTTCTTCTTGGATTGATCCCTTGATCATTATGTAGTGTCCTTCTTTGTCTCTTGTAATAGGCTTTACTTTAAAATCTATTTTGTCTGATATGAGAATTGCTACTCCAGCTTTCTTTTGATTTCCATTTGCTTGGAGTATCTTTTTCCATCCCCTTACTTTCAGTCTGTATGTGTCCCTAGGTCTGAAGTGGGTCTCTTGTATACAGAATATATACGGTTCTTGTTATTGTATCCATTCATCCAGTCTACGTCTTTTGGTTGGAGCATTTAATCTGTTTACATTTATGATAATTATTGATATGTATGTACCTATTACCATTTTCTTAATTGTTTTGTTATTGCAGGTCTTTTCCTTCTCTTGTGTTCCCTGCCTAGAGAAGTTCCTTAAGCGTTTTCTGTAAAGCTGGTTTGGTGGTGCTGAATTCTCTTGGCTTTTGCTTGTCTGTAAAGGTTTTAATTTCTCTGTCAAATCTGAATGAGATCCTTTTTGGGTAGAGTAGTGTTGGTTGTAGGTTTTGCCCCTTCATCTCTTTAAATATGTCCTGCCACTTCGTTCTGGCTTCCAGAGCTTCTGCTGAAAGATCAGCTGTTAACCTTATGGGGATTCCCTTGTATGTTATTTGCTGCTTTTCCCTTGCTGCTTTTAATATTTTTTCTTTGTATTTAATTTTTGATAGTTTCATTAATATGTGTCTTGGCATGTTTCTCCTTGGATTTATCCTGTATGGGACTCTCTGTGCTTCCTGGTCTTGATTAACTATATCCTTTCACTTATGAGGGAAGTTTTCAACTATAACCTCTTCAGATGTTTTCTTAGTCCCTTTCTTTTTCTCTTCTTCTTCTGGGACCCCTATAATTCGAATCTTGGTGCGTTTAATGTTGTCCCAGAGGTCTCTGAGACTGTCCTCAATTCTTTTCATTCTTTTATCTTTATTCTGCTCTGCAGTAGTTATTTCCACTACTTTATCTTCCTGGTCACTTATCCGTTCTTCTGCCTCAGTTATTCTGCTATTGATCCCTTCTAGAGAATGTTTAATTTCATTTATTGTGTTGTTCATCACTGTTAGTTTGCTATTTAGTTCTTCTAGGTCCTGGTTAAACATTTGTTTTATTTTCTCCATTCTATTTCCAAGATTTTGGATCATCTTTACTATCATTATTCTGAATTCTTTTTCAGGTAGACTGCCTATTTCCTCTTCATTTGTTAGATCTGGTGGGTTTTTACCTTGTTCCTTCATCTGCTGTGTGTTTCTCTGTCTTCTCATTTTGCTTAGCTTACTGTGTTTGGGGTCTCCCTTTCACAGGCTGCACGTTCATAGTTCCTATTGTTTTTGGTGTCTGCCCCCAGTGGCTAAGGTTGGTTCAGTGGGTTGTGTAGGCTTCGTGGTGGAGGGGACTAATGCCTGTGTTCTGGTGGATGAGGCTGGATCCTGTCTTTCTGGTGGGCAGGTCCACGTCTGGTGGTGTGTTTTGGGGTGTCTGGGGCCTTATTATGATTTGACACAGCCTGTCTGCTAATGGGTGGGGTTGTGTTCCTGTCTTGCTAGTTGTTTGGCATAGGGTGTCCAGCACTGTAGCTTGCTGGTCGTTGAGTGGAGCTGGGTCTTGGCATTGAGATGGAGATCTCTGGGAGATTTTCTCCGTTTGATATTACGTGGAGCTGGGAGGTCTGTTGTGGATCAGTGTTCTGAACTTGCCTCCCCCGCCACAGAGGCACAGCCCTGATCCCTGGCTGGAGCACCAAGAGTCTGTCATCCACATGGCTCAGAATAAAAGGCAGAAAAAAGAAAGAACGAGGGGGGGGGAGGGAGGCAGGGAGGGAGGGAGGGAGAGAGAGAGAGAGAGAGAGAGAGAGAGAGAGAGAGAGAGAAAGGAAGAAGATAAAATTTAAAAAGTTGTTAAAATAAAAAAATAATTATTTAAAAAAATTAAAAAGAAAAAAGAAAGAAAGGAGGAAAGAAGAGAGCAACCAAACCAAAAAACAAATCCACCAATGATATGAAGTGCTAAAAACTATACTAACAAAAAAGAAGAAAGAAAAACGGACGGATAGAACCGTTGGACAAATGGTGAAAGCAAAACTATACAGACAAAATCACACACAGAAGCATACACATACACGCTCACAAAAAAAGAAAAAGGGGGAAAAATATATATCATTGCTCCCAAAGTCCACCTCCTCAATTTGGGATGATTCGTTGTCTATTCATGTATTCCACAGATGCAGGTACATCAACTTGATTGTGGAGCTTTAATCCGCTGCTTCTGAGGCTGCTGGGAGAGATTTCCCTTTCTCTTCTTTGTTCTCACAGCTCCCAGGGGCTCAGCTTTGGATTTGGCTACGCCTCTGCGTGTAGGTTGCTGGAGGGCGTCTGTTTTTTGCTCAGACAGGACAGGGTTAAAGGAGCCGCTGACTCGGGGGCTCTGACTCACTCAGGCCGGGGGGGGAGGGAGGGGCACCGAGTGCGGGGCGGGCCTGCGGCGTCAGAGGCGGCGTGATGTTGCACCAGCCTGAGGCGCGCTGTGCCTTCTCCCGGGGAAGTTGTCCCTGGATCCCGGGACCCTGGCAGTGGCGGGCTGCACAGGCTTCCCGGAAGGGGGTTGTGGATAGTGACCTGTGTTCGCACACAGGCTTCTTGGTGGCAGCAGCAGCAGCCTTAGCGTCTCACGTCTGTCTCTGGGGTCCGCGCTTTTAGCCGCGGCTCACGCCCGTCTCTGGAGCTCCTTCAAGCAGCATTCTTAATCCCCTCTCCTCGTGCACCAGGAAATAAAGAGGGAAGAAAAAGTCTGTTGCCTCTTTGGCATGTCCGGCTCGCGCCCGTCTCTGGAGCTCCTTCAAGCAGCGCTCTGAATCCCCCTCTCCTAGCGCACCAGGAAACAAAGGGGCAAGAGAGTCTCTTGCCTCTTTGGCAGGTCCAGACATTTCCCCGGACTCCCTCCCGGCCAGCCGTGGCGCACTAATCCCCTGCAGGCTGTGTTCACGCCACCAACCCCAGTCCTCTCCTTGCGCTCTGATCGAAGCCCGAGCCTCAGCTCCCAGCCCCGCCACCCCGGCGGGTGAGCAGACAAGCCTCTTGGCCTGGTGAGTGCCGGTCGGCACCGATCCTGTGTGCGGGAATCTCCGCTTTGCCCTCCGCACCCCTGTTGCTGCGCTTTCCTCCGCGGCTCCGAAGCTTTCCCCTCCGCCGCCCGCAGCCTCCGCCCTCGAAGGGGCTTTCTAGTGTGTGGAAACCTTTCCTCCTTCACAGCTCCCTCCCACTGGTGCAGGTCCCGTCCCTATTCTTTGTCTCTGTTTTTTCTTTTTTCTTTTGCCCTACCCAGGTACGTGGGGGGTTTCTTGCCTTTTGGGAGGTCTGAGGTCTTCTGACAGCGTTCAGTAGGTGTTCTGTTCGAGTTGTTCCACGTGTAGATGTATTTATGATGTATTTGTGGGGAGGAAGTTGATCTCCTCATCTTACTCCTCTGTCATCTTGAAGCTCCCCAGAATACACATTCTTTTGAAGTGCACATAGAACATTTATCAAGACAGACCTTGTAGATTTATAATGATTGAAATCATACAAAATATGTTCTCTGATTAGAATGAAATTAAATTAAGAATTAATAGAAAAATATCTGGAATAATCTTTACATATTGGGAAACTAAAGAACACACATAATTCATAGGTCAAAGAAGGAATCACAGGGAAATTAGAAAATATTTAGAATAAAATGAAAACGAAACACAACATATCAAAATTTGTGGTAAGCAACTAATGCAGTGCTCAGCAGAAAACGTATACCTTTAAATGCTTACATTAGAAAAGAAGAAAAGGCTAAAGCCAGTGGTGTAAATTTCTATTTTAAGAAGCTAGAAAAAGAGGAACAAGTTAAACACAAAGAAAGTAGAGTGAATAATAAAAATGAGATAATAATAAAAATGAAATCAATGAAATAAGAAATGGTCAAAGAATGGGCAAAAATGGAAAAAATGGAAAAAAAGTAATTAAGCCCAAAACTGTTTTTTTTCTTTCAATAAATAAATAAAATTGAAAGATCTTTAGCTAGAATCATCCAGAAAAAGACACAAAAAGACACAAATTATCAGTATCTAGAATAAAAGAGAAGGCATCACTATAGATCCTACAGACACTGAAAGGATAAATAAAATTAAATATCACTGTTATTATTGTTATTGATGTTATGTCAATGTAATGCCAATATATTTGACAACATATGAAATTGACAAATTTCTTGAAAGATGCATAGTACCAAAAGTGGCACAGAAAGAAACAGAAAACCTGAATAGCTTTGTCTGGCATTACTGGTGAAATCAACCAAATATGTAAGAAAAGAAAACATATTGAGTTTACACAAACTCTTTCAGAAAAGAAAAGGGAAAATGAATTTTAGGAGCACCCCGAAACCAAAACCCAGACAAAGACATTATGAGAGCAATACCTCTTATGAGCACATGTGCTGGGGGCACTACTGCATCCATCACAGGTCTCTGATTGTCTCGCAGGTATGCCGGCGTCCTTCTGGACGAGGACATCTTCCGAAGTTAGGAGCTTGTCAGCAGTCGCCCGCTGCAGGTGCTGGTGGCGGGGCTGAAGGCCTGCAGTACCTGGGAGAGCATCGGCTGCCTGCAGGACTGCCGAGAGTGCACCGGAGGCCTGGTGAGCCCCCGCGGGCCCCCAGTCCTGCAGGGTCCGCGTGGTTACACGTGTGGGGGCTGACTGTGTGGCCAGTGGGCTTTGGAACCAGGTGGAATTCCCTCCTGCCCTTGTGACCTTAGATGCATTACTTAATTTTGTCACCTGTGCATGTCCACCTTCTTGGATGCTGCAAGGACTGATGCAGACCATGCTTGTAAAATGCTTGGCCCGTGGAGGCCCGCGGTAAATGTCATAAAACTTGGTGGTGGTGGTTGTTGAGAGTATAGGAAAGGGCCAGTGGGGGTCAGATGATCAAAGCTCTGCTCCAGTGTTTAAGTTCCTTGGGGAGAAGTCAGGAGTGACCCCAGGGGTTTCTACCCTGGGAAGGAGGCACATGGGGATATGCCAACCATTTAGAGAGTGTATAGAGTGTCCCCAGCCCAAGCCTCAGACCATATTGAGCAGTGAGGGGTGTGAGGTATGAGAAACACAGTATGAATCTTTGCAGAGTTGAGGGGCGTCTGAGGACAGCTGGGGTCTGTGCTCTATTCCTCTGCAATCCTGAGAGTGGAGGTGCCTGCGGGATGCAGGATGCCAGAGTCTCTGCATCCCTGTGAGAGCCCAGCGCTGGTCAGAAAGGGGACCCAAGTGGGGTCTCTGAGGACAGGATGTGGGGGATGTGTGGTTGTGGGCCTGTGACTCGGTGGCATTGCATGGCTGCAGACATCAGCTCTGATGGCATCTGAGGTTCAGCCCCAGATGACAGCACTGTGTGGGTGACCCCCAGGGACCACACCGCCTCATCGTCATGTGGGCCAGAAGCAGGCACTGCAGGAAGAGCAGGGAGGAGGGAGCCCCTCTTGGGCCTTGGGCCTGAATTCCATCTTGAACTTGACTGAATATTTGCCTAACAACAGCAGCTCTGAACCTGAAGGGGAGGCTGAAGAATTTTAGCCTCAGTGAGAAGGGGTCAAGGGCAAGTCCAGGGTGGTTGTAGAGAATAAAAGGGGAGGATGCGTTTCTGGAGAGCCGGGCCGCAGAGCATCAGAGTCGGGGTCCATGGAGGGGCGAGCAGGGGCTGGGCCTTCACCACCGGCCGAGCCCAAGGTTTCTCCCACATGAACGGTGAGGATGGGACTGGGAGCCTCCTGTGTCCTTTCATCTGAGAGTCACCGTGCTCACTTCTCTCACGGTGGCTGAGTAAGGATGTGCACGTGGTGAAGGGGACCTTGGTTGGTCACATCTGCCTACTGTGTCTGTGATGGTGGGGGACATGCTTGCTTTTCCAGTGGGAATGATGTCGGGTGCTCCTGGAAAAGAAGGAGAATAGGGAATAAAGTGACAGCTGGCGCTGGGGCGCAGCTGGACCAGGAGTATAGGTCCTCTGAGGCAGCTGGGGGCGATGGCTTATAATGACCTTAAGTGACCTGACACGTGTGAGGCCCCTGCCAAGGGGCTGGTTTCCATCCATCCAGTGGCCCTGCCCGCTCATGCCCTCCTTCGTTGCCAAGCACCGACCGGCAGTGCAGAAATGACCCCTTCACCCACCATATTATGGAAAAGAGCCTGACCGTGGAGGGCTGCTCTTCCAGGCTGGTTGCCAGGCCTGTAATCCCACCGGGCACTGCTGCCTCATGAGGCTTTGCTTCCCAGTAGCTCCTCAGCAATGGATGCAGAGGGCCCTGATTTCCATTTCTGTTCCTTCCCTTCCCTCCACCCCCATATCCACCCAACACCTAGCCCAAGGCTATTTGTAGAGACATAAATATCTGTTGAAAGAAAAGCATGAGCATCTTCTAATTGTTCTAAGTTATATTTGCAAACACCGCATCTTCTGCAGTCAGGAGGTCTCCAGGAGTGAAGTGTGAATGTCTGGGAGCTCCCGAGATGGTACTGAAAACCACCTCTTTCATGGCCCGTGGGTCTAAGTAGGTCTTGCTTCAAAAAAATGTGCTTCAACACACATTTACTGGGTTTGAGCCAGCAACGCTGGGTGTGACCACAGGAAAGTTTTCCCCTTCACTATGCCTCATTTTCCCCATATATAAAATGAGGATAAACTCTCCTTTGTAGTGGTTGTGAGGGTTAAGTTATGCAAGATGATGAGCATAAAATGCTTCACATGTGAACCCAGGAAGCAGCAGCTGACATCTTTATGGTGTGCTTACCCTGGGGATTTGGAGAAAAAAAAAAATACCACATGGTCTGTTTTGCTTGCCATCGTAAAGATGGATACAGAACCCAGACTGGTATGGCAGGTCCTATGCGGCAGCTGGGGCTGGGAGGACTCAGTGACATCTGGAGGGTGGCGGGGGGCAGTCCCTGAGCAGTGTCAGTTTAGCAATTTAGAGGATGAACGAGAGGCTTTGAGATGGGGGTCTGAGGACCTGCTGGATAAAGGGGTACCGGCACACAGGTGAAGGTGTGCGAGTGTGTGGCGCATCTAGGGACACTGGGACAGGCATGGGCTGGGTTCAGGTGAAGGTGCAAGGGAGGAATGGCAACTTTATTCAGAAAGCCAGCAGACCGAGATGGTGGACTCGTGTCCCAAAGAACCATCTTACCTGAGTTAGAATTCAGGCTTCTTTTATACTAAAATGGGAGGGGGTGTGGTTAGTTGTTGCAAACTTCTTGGTGTCAGAATCCTTTGTTCTTGCAGCTGTCCTTGTAGGCCAGGTCACAAAGTTCCTGTAAACCTTCCACAAGACAAATGTTATTCTCTGTTCTGCAACTTCTTATCTCTTATTTGAGTGGGAAAGTGTTATACCTCTAAAGGTCAGAGCCCTGCGAATGGGCTATCCTGTATATTTTCAGGCTGTAAGCAACATTCTTAACTTGTAGCAAAAGCAATAGAATACAAAGGTTAAAGTGAAAGAACAGATCCAATATGGAGTCAGATTTGTTCTTCCCTATTGCAAAAGGGCAGGGACCAAGTCTTCAATCACCACGACCCTACTTCTGACTATAGTGGGGAGTATCAGTAAGCAGCTGTTGACTGACTAAACAGACTGAATGATAGACTGATAGACAGACTGATGTCCATCAGACAGATGGACTGATGGACAGATGGACTGATTAAATAAATGACTGCCCTGTGCCTCCATTTTTCTTTCTTACCCTTAGAAGTTAAGATTAATCCACAAAACTTGGCCCCTTTGGTCTTTCCTTGCTTTATTATTACTTTTTACCTTGAACATTTTAATTAAACATCTGACTCTACTGTTAAGGATTTGGAGACAAAGAACACGGGCATTGCCTTGAGGCTACTCATATTCAGAAGCAGGGTGCTATTTATCGGCTCTAAAGCCTGTACAGACCCATTCTGATGGCTCATTTGTTGAGTAGTTTAGGAAACAGGGACTTGAGAAGAGGGCTGGGATGGAAAATCATTGTTTTTGTTTTTGTTTTTGTTTTTGCGGTACGCGGGTTTCTCACTGCTGTGGCCTCTTCCGTTGCGGAGCACAGGCTCCGGACGCGCAGGCTCAGCGGCCACGGCTCACGGGCCCAGCCGCTCCGCGGCATGTGGGATCTTCCCGGACCGGGGCACGAACCCGCGTCCCCTGCATCGACAGGCAGACTCTCAACCACTGCGCCACCTGGGAAGCCCTGGGATGGGAAATCATTGTACAGTTTATCAAGATATGACTAATCTGGCACCAAATTTTTGCCTCTACTTTAAACATACACCCTGTTTAAATCCCGTTTCTCTGGACTGCTAACTTTCATGTTTGTTACTATTGCCTGAAGCGAGCAATGTCTGTGGAAGGCAGCTTCTTTGCCAAGGAAACCATATTTGAAATCACATTTCTTTTTTTTTTTTTTTAACATCTTTATTGGGGTATAATTGCTTTACAATGGTGTGTTAGTTTCTGCTTTACAACAGAGTGAGTCAGTTATACATATATATATCTTCCCATATCTCTTCCCTCTTTGTCTCCCTCCCTCCCACTCTCCCTATCCCACCCCTCCAGACAGCCACAAAGAACGGAGCCGGTTTCCCTGTGCCATGCGGCTGCTTCCCACTGGCTGTCTACCTTACGTTTGTTAGTATATATATGTCCATGTCTCTCTCTCGCCCTAACACACTTCACCCTTCCCCCTCCCCATATCCTCAAGTCTGTGGAAGGCAGCTTCTTTGCCAAGGAAACCATATTTGAAATCACATTTCTTGTATTATTTTCACCAATTACAGAAGTGGTGCATATCCATCGCAGAAATTTTTGAAACTACGAAGACACAAAGAAGAAAGTAAATAAATCCCACAATTATACTTTGCCAGGGATGATTGCTATCATTTGCACTGTATTCGTTCTATGCATTGTGTACGTACATGTTTAAAATTTTATAACCTCTCCTTTTCATCTGTGAGTTGATATGGATACCCCTTCCGATCATTTCTTTGCAGTGAAGTTTTGACGGCTGGTACCATTTATCATGTAGATGCACCATACATTATTCAACTAATTCTTTAGTGTATGTCAAATTTTTCTTTATTACAAATGACACTATAGACAACATTTTAGTAGCAAACTTTTTTCCCACATACCTGTGATTGTTTCCTTGAGATCAGTTATTTAACTGATATTTGTATTGTCACCAAAGGTTATACTAGTTCCCACTTCTGCCAGGAGTTGAACACAGAATCTTAATAGTTGCAGGACTACTGGCTTTCAGATTCTTTTGACCGTGACCTATAGAAAAGGGTACACTTTTCAGTACCACCCCGTATTTACGAACACATATACGCAAAACTGAGAAGATAAATTTTATGAAACAGTACTCATCTCACTATTGTGATCTAGTGCTCTAGTATTTTCTTTTAATTTTATGTCATTTTAAGAAAAGCTGGTCATGATGCATTAAGCTGATTTCATGACCTGCTGGTGGGTCATAGCCTGTAATTTTCACAACGCAGCCTGGACTCACAGATCGAAAAAGGACCTTGCTATATAGAGTTGAGAGCTGCACCTCAGCAGAGTGTGTCCACAGTGATCAAAAGAAGCTGGGCTTTCAGGGGAATA